CTTAAGTAAACAATTCATTTGATGTTGCAACATTATTAATCTTCTTTTCTCTCCCTCCTTATTTGCTTTTGTCATCATTATGCTTTCTTGTACTTTTATCCGTTCTTTCAGATTCTTGTATTTTTGCCTTCTTTGCTTATTAATTTTTGCTGCTTCCTGTATTAACAATCCTCTTGAGAATGCTTTCATTGTATCCCATATCACTTCTATGGGTGTTCCTTGCTTCTTATTTTCTCTAAAAAAAATTCAACGTCCATCTGCTTCTTTTGCCTTCAGTTTGTAATTCCATATATACTGGTCTATGGTCTGCATATGTCCCAGCTTGTATTTCCGCTTCTATTAAGTCTTTAACCAAAATTGTTGAAATCCATATCATGTCTATTCTATCTAGACCATGAATCATGTCTTGCTGAATAATATGTATATTGCCTTGAATTGTAATTTCTTATTCTCCATGCATCTACCAAGTTTAGGTCCAACAGCATTTGTTCTAAACTTTGGACTGCATAATTCTAATATAGCAAGGCAGTGGGTAAGAGAATCTTTGACATCATAAACCATATAACTTGTATTTCAAATATTAAGGATATTCTTTTTTGTTGTATGACTGGTATTGTAAATGGTCATAAGTACTGGTTAATGTTGTAAGAAAAATGTGGATGGCTGCGCGTGTTTGTGAAAGTGTGTTTACCCATGCCACCCACACTCTCCCCCTCTCAGTTCGTGTGTCTCCTGTGTGTTTGCCTCCTTACCTAAGGCAGAAGTGTAAGCTTGGAAATCACTAAGGCTCTAGCAGAGACATTCAAAGGTCTCTTCTTAAAATAAAACTTATCTTTATTATAGAAAAACATTCAGAGATTTGTCTGGCAAGATGACCGCAAGTCGCTATGCCAGCCTGCCACACAGTAGAATCCTATTTCCTAAGCATTGATGGAATACACAGAAAAATAAACATGCAGCAAAGTTTCCCACACCCCATGGATGCGCGGACGAGAGGCCTCTCTGACTGACTCCTAAGAGGAGTCAGCAGGGGTCTGTTGTAACTGACCAGTATTTATACCCAAGATCAAAGGGGTCCCTAGATAATCATATTACAGTTGGAATTTAACACTTAGAAGTTGGAATTGTCTTGCAGGAAATTTGTTTCCTTTCCTTGGTCTCACACAACAAAAAGTGTACACATTTTACAGGATCAATACAGTGTCATTGTTTCTTCCAGGTGTTCCCCAATGTGGGAACTGAACTGTCCTTTGATGTTATCAGAGAGATGAATAGTCTTATGGATTGAAGTCTGCCACCTTCCCAAATGGTCATATATTTTATGGCCTAGGAAATTGGGGGTATTGGCAAGTTTCACATCTGTGGAGTTTCCCTGGGAATTTCCTGGGAATTTGAATGTGTTACATCTTCAGTGAAAGAAAGGACAAGCCTGTTTTTGTTTTGTTTTTTTCTAGCAAGGGCAGAGACAGATATGTATATGGATTTCATAAACTGTTTGGTTCATTTTAAACCCAAACCTTCTATATTTCTGAAAATTCTTTCCACAGTTAACAGTTAATTATTATGTAGATGTATAACGGAATGTTTATCACTTTTGGTGAAGTATTGAAAACAGAGAAATAATTAGGAAATTTCTGACAAATATTAGTAAACTTTTCTGTATAGCAATTCGGTCACAGTGACTTTTTACTCTTATCATTTGGATAATATAATTGCTGTTGATGTATGCTTGGAGCTTCAAGAGTAATAAATAACAGAGCTATTGATTCTTTTAGCACAGGCTGGCCAGAGAGTTTTGCTTCGTGACTAGAGTATTAGACTAGGAATGGAAAGGCCTGGGTTCAGACATGCAGACTTTGGCCCACTCACTTGCTTTCAGGCTACTCTACTTCACATGGTGGTTGAGCCTATAAAATGGATGCTGCTCTGAGCTCTATGGAGGAGGGGTTGGGATAAAAATGTGTCATGTCAAGACACATCTCGTCTGTAATGTTGGAAATATCATCAGCCTGACTGTTAAGTGCAGAGAGACTGTCATCTGTGATGCATTTGTGATATGTTTAATTCTGTAGCCCAGTGAGCAGGCACAAGCGGGAAGCAGAGCTCAGGAACAAGAACAAGATCTTGGAGGCTGCCCGAACAGAAATGATGGTCAAGTTAGAGAGAACACAGGTAGGGAGCCTCCTTGACTCTGGTTAGCATAAAATGGCACGTGTGGTATTGGAAGCTTCTCACAGCCATGACCTAGAGGAATATTGGGAAGTACAAGCAGATTTTCATTCTACATGTGCTCAATGAAATAACAATCAAGGCTCAAGTTTGTAGTACGGGATTACCCAATAAGATCCACTTAGAGCCAGTTTGGTGTAGTGGTTAAGAGCAATGGACTCTGATTTGGAGAACCGGGTTTGATTCCTGACTCCTCCACATGAAGCCAGCTGGGTGACTTTGGGTCAGTCACAGCTTTCTCAGAGCTCTCTCAGCCCCACCTACCTCATGGGCAGTGTTCCCTCTAAGATGAGTTAGTGTGAGCTAGCTCATAAGTTTTTAGCCTCTTGCTCACACATTTTTGTCTTAGCTCAGGGTGGCTCCAGAGCAAACTAACATGCAGTAGCAAAGTCACCTGCTCCCAACTTTAATGCCAGTAGCTCACAAAGTAGAGTTTTTGCTCACAGGACTCCATAGCTTAGATGGAGAATTGCTCACAGGGTGTCTGTTGTGGGGAGAGGAAGGGAAGGTGATTGTAAGCCACTCCAAGACTCCTTTGGATAGTGAAGGACAGGGTATAAAACCAACTCTTCTTCTTATGAGGGGTTTATACCAGATGGTTCTTCAAAAGGTGACACTTTTACAAGGGAATTTAATAGGAAACAAATGTTAAATTGTGCAAGGGCAAATAGTGTCCAATAAATGTTACTGCTAGCTGCTAGTGTGTAATACTGACTTTATCAGAGTGTACTCAGCAGGGAACAGGTGTGAGAGGGTCCCCGCTCTACAACGTTAGATGAAATGGACAGAGAGCCAAGACCATAGGATGCTTCAGACCAAATCAGAACTCTCAGTTGCTCTAAGAGGTAGAATAAACTGCCAACAGCATGTGTTGCTGTTGAGACCAGGACGTGACCTGCAGGTCTCCAGAATGATCCTTGATTTTGGTCTGGAGGGCTTCCTGCAAGTTGGGTAAGAGGCAGCTCTGAATTCAGGTGCTGCTTTTGGTCTCACTAAAGCTGTTTCATATGTCACCGGGATGGTTAGAGAATGACCAGGACTGAGGTGACCTGGGCTTAAAACAATGTAGCCCTGAAGGTCACTGGGTTACCTTGGGCCAGCTGCTGTCTCCATCTAGGCAGTTGTATTTATACTCTATTGTATTTTAATGTATTTATTGTTTTAGTGTTTTTAAAGTTGTTAGCCGCCTTAAGCGGTTCTGTGGCAAGGCGGGATACAAACTGAAATAATAAATAAAAATAAAATAAAATCTAGTTTAACCTTACAGGGTTGTTTGACAAGAATAAAATGAGTGACAAGGATAAAATGAGTAGGGGTGGGCTGGGCTGTGTGTGCTGTCCTGAGTCCTTCAGGGGAAGGGTGAAATCAGTACGGGTAGAATGAATGAAGCTTGCTTGGGCAAAGGTATTAGAAATGCCTAAAGCAGCACAGTTTTTCTCTTGGTAGCTGTCTTAGTGGGATGGGCACCTGCAAAGGGAGAAGCAGCCCCTTCCAAGGTGTGAGGGGGCTCGTAAGAGGGGCTAGGAGAAATGGTGGGTGGAGCCAGCTGCAGTCCTTAGGCTAAAGCATCTTGGTAAAGAATGATGCATCCAATACTCGGCCTGTGTGCTCTCTCCTCTTTGCCTTCTGCTATCTCTGTTGTTTCGTAGTGGGAGAGTTATATTGTGTGTCGGAGGCTGCTAATGTGATGCTGGAGCACAAGAGGCCATGGAGCTGACTGTTACAGAGGTGTCAAATTAGCTGAATGTGCTACCAGCTTTTGCAGGCTTCCCAATTGTTTTGTACAAACGCAGTTAATAGTTTGTGAAGAATCTGTATATGTGTTCCTAAGCTTTTATGAAAAAGTTGGCTCTGGTGTCCTAGGATGTTGTAGTGGCTGGAATGTGAGACTAGGGTCTGGGAAATCCCGTTTGAATCCTCCCTCTGTGAGGGAAGCTTGCTGGGTGACCTAGGGCCAGTCGCACATTTAGCTGAACCTACCTCACAGCACTGTTGTGAGGATAAAATGGAGCAGGGGTATAAGAGAAAGACAGAGAAAGGCAGGGTATAAATAAATAAATTGTGCAGTTCCTTCTCTAGCCGAAGGAAGTTCTTTGTATTCTGGCAAATCACTGGAAGCCTAATTTTAAAAATAAGGGCTCTTTTGTGGGATGCTGAGGTTTGGTCTTGAACTTTCAGGGTACTGTAAAGGAGCTGAAGGAGCAGTGTGAGCATCTACAAAAGGAAAACGAGGAGCTGAAGCAGTTCCAGAAAAGCTGCATGTTGGTCCTGGAAACTTGCAACTGTCTCTCAGGTATCTTGTTCAGTACGGTCAGTTCTGAGCTCTCGGTATTGGACAACCGGCTTTTACATTCTTTCCATTGCCTTTTCCCTTTCCACAAGCTTTCCTAGCTATGTGAGAGAAAGGTGGATTTATAAATGTTTGAAATTAACTCTTCAGAGGTGGCTGCTCCACTAGAGACTGGTTTTCAGTGCAGATGGAAAAAACAAAGGAAACTTGTGACTATTTTGCAGTGAGTGAAGCCACCAGCCAAGGGTTGTCCAACAGTAGTGGTAAATAGACCTGAAATGCATGGCTGTATGTATCTTGGAACTGAATGAAACATTTATGTATCAGATGCAGGTATCACAACTTTGGAAAAGGAGGAGAGGAAGAAAGAACAGGATGAGATGATGGTAAGACTGAACCTTTCTTTTCCGTCACTGGTGTATAGCATAAGGCTTCCCCCCACCCCTGCTTATGCCTGCTGAAAATGTTCTGCAAATAATTATTGGCTCTCATGTAACTGAGAAACTATATATTGAACAGGTCAAACTTGTGTGGAACAGAACTTGACTAAAATGTCATTTCTGCTGTTAAATCCACCGGGGTAGCCATGTTAGTCTCTTGTAGAAAACTTAAACGTAAATCCAATAGTAGTTTAAAGACTAACAGCATTTATTCCAGACTAAGGGGCCGTGGTGGCTCAGAGGTTAAGAAGCTGAGCTGCAGACCAGAAGGTCTGTAGTTCGGCAGTTCGAGACCCTAGTGCTGTGTGACGGAGTGAGCTCCTGTCTCTGGCCCCAGCTCCTGCCAACCTAGCAGTTCGAAAGCAAGAAATTGCAAGCAGATAAATAGGTACTGCTTCGTTGGGAAGGTAACAGTGTTCCGTGCGCCTCAGCGGTTAGTCTTGTTGGCTACATGACCATGGAAACATCTTCGGACAGCGCTGGCTCTTCAGCACCCCCCCCCCAGAGTCGGGTACGACTAGGTCTCAAGCAAGGGAAACCTTTATCTTTACCTTTAAGGTTTGGTCAGTCGCAGCTCACCTCAGATGCATAGAGGTTTCCTTCCAAAGCAGTAGTATTGATATAATAAAATTAAGCGGATGGGATAGACACTCCTATGCACCAGAAGAACTGAGCTTTGACTCTCAAAATCTTAGGCTGGAATAAATTTAATTTTATAAACTTAAGGTGCTACAGGACTCCTTTTTCACTTCTGGTATTGCTTTCCTTTCAGGTTTTGACTGAGAAGCTTAATGCGGACCTGGAGCTGTTCTGCAGAATGGCTAAAGAGCAGAAAGATCATCTCCAAGTAAAATTAAAACTGTTTTCTTCCCTCCCACTGGGAAGTCTGAATTTCCATTTGAGTACACATTCGAGTACACAGTATAACTTCCCCTTGACTAGAGGTCTTGTGTCAGCCTTTATCCTTGTGCCTAATAGGACCTCTGATCTTCTGAATGAAACCAACTACTTTGATATATCATGTGGCGAAATGGGGACCCGTCCTCAGCCCTGGGAGACTGAACAGCCGTTCTGTGGCTCACAAGCCCTGTTTCTGCCTTCCCACCTTGCCTGGTGGGGCTATTTCCCTTTGTTACATGTTGCCACCACTCACTAAATTGACACCGCCTTCCTAGAGGGACAGTGAGATTCCTCTGGCTGATTCCCCCACCTTGGGAAGCTGGTACCACAATCTTTGGGCACCCCATGGAGAGTTGGCAACCCCTCCAGTTTGGGCTCGTTTGCATTTCCTAGCCTCCCTTTGCCTCTGGTAACATGCTGAGCGGAGAGGACTAGGTAGTCAAGGCACACCAGGTCTTATTTAACTCAAAAAAAGGTTTATTTTAACTATGTACAAGTTAAGCACAGAAAATAAACACGAGCACATTAACACAACCTGGGGCAGAAAATAAGTACACTTTAAAACGCCATTCCTCTGTCCCCTACACACCCTCACCATCTCTGGAGGTTGTGGGCCTCAGGATGGATTTTGCTTTTCCCCCTCCTGTGGTTGTGGAGAAACCCCCAGCCCTTCACTGGACTGGTCACTTGTACTGTTATCCTCCTGGCTGTCCACCACGGTTTATAGTGGCCTGGATGCCCTGGAGTTTGAGGCAACAGGAGCCCCACCTGTCCGCTCCCTCGAAGCTGCCCTCCAAGCTGAGCCGAAGGCTGAAGACCAGGCTGAAGACTATTTTATTTATCTGTTTGTTTGTTTGTTATACCCCGCCCTCCCCAGCAGGCTCAGGGCGGCTACAACAAAGGCAATTGCCATAACAACAGTTAAAACAACATAAAAACAATAATTAAATAAAGTGCGGTGCTCTTGATGTTAAAATTTTTCTCAAACCAAGATGAGTTCCATTCATCAACCTAACCTGGCAGCATGCATTCTTTGATTACCTAGGCATCTGCCCAGGGCCGGCTCACCTCCAGATCTAATCCACCGTCGAAGATGGCAACTCGGTGGTGGTACAGTGGCGGCGGCGGCTCCTGTGCAAAGGCCTGGCGGAAGAGCTCCGTCTTGCAAGCCCTGCAGAACTGCGCCAGGTCCCGCAGGGCCCGAACCTGCTCTGGGAGCTTATTCCACCAGACAGGAACCGCCGCCGAAAAAGCCCTGGCCCTGGTTGCAGCCAACTTGATGTCCTTGGTGCCGGGAACCATCAATAGGTGCTGCGAGGACTAAAACTCTTCTCAGGGGCCAAAGCCTTTATCCACCCGGCTCCACCCCTGGGGTGTGTCCATTTTCCCCGCCCTTTTTCCCTAGCACTTCGGGGAAATGTAGGCAGGCAAATGAGGAAGTCCCAATCAAACCGGTGAGGGTTACCCCTGCAGGCCCCTGTCCGGAACTACAGGCCACTTACCCTTATGGGGAACCATTTTAAATACCAGGTACAGAGGGCCTCCATCTTACACACCCAGGTAAATGCCATTTCATTACAACACTTCCTCTCCAAAAGGAGATTTATTTGGCAAGAGGAGAAATGAATGAATAAGTCTTTGGCAGTGGGCAAGCAAAGTGAACTTGTAGCCACTAACAGTGAAAGCCTATGTTACTTTAACTGTATTTTTTGTTTTCCCCATAGACTGCAAAGATGGCTTGGAAGCAGGTGGAGGAGGAGCGAATCCACTTCAGAGAGAAGCAGCAGTGTTTTAGAAGAGAAATGGAAGAGTTTGCTGCTATCTTGGATCAAGAAGATGAATTTGTGACAGCAGAAGTGGAAACTCCTGTTCTTTCAGTCTCAAAATAGGCCTTAGTTGGCTGGGAATCAAGGACTTACCTAGAACATTAATCATTGCCTCTCACTATCGTGATGTTTACGTTTCTGTCTTTGTTGTTCACGTTTGGGTCTTATGGAGGTTGGATATTTTGCCTTAATAAATGTTGGCTTTGTACAGTTGTGCAGCAATTCTGTATCCGCATACGTTTCATTTAGCAGGTCAGCGCTGCTGATACTTCTCGATCTTACAGTGGCATTCAACACAGGTGTGCACAAATCTGAAAAGTTAAAAAAAACCGGGGGATACTTAAATTCCCCCAAAACTGACAGAGCGTTCCCTGCGCATGCGCAGGGAACGCTCTGCAGCCAGCCTCGCTGTCGCCGCC